CTTCATCGTTCTAAAAACTGAAAAAATAGCTCCTCTTTTCTTTCAGTTTGCAAATGAAGTACAGACACCTGATGTGATTGTGTCAACGCTAAAAGCCATTCGTCATATAGTTGATCTCTATGCACATTTCAAAAAGATTACAAAGAACTTATCCAAGGTATTTTTTTTATCAAATCCTCAATTACTGCTTCAGTCGTTTTGCTTCAGGTACTCGTAAGAATATGGTCAAGAAAAACGCTAGAGTGCCGGGTGGGAGCTTATGTATGTATGACCCAGCTGGTGAAATCACATCCGGAACACTTCGTCAGTCTGTATAAGGTACGGCACATCGTTCAAGTTTTACAACATCTTCCATTGTGGTTGCGATTTTGCATTGTATGTGAACGAAAAAGCTTACCATATTTTTCAAATTTGTCGGATTTAGTATTTTTACAGAGTTGCTACCTTGGCTTTGTCTCCAATTCTCGTGAGGTCACATCGGAAACATGGCCCATCTTACATTTCATGCACAAGTGAGTTTTTTCATTGTATGCCATTTAGGCCGCTTGCGAATTTCAAGCGAATTTCAAAAAGAAGAAGAAACTGGGAAAATTAGAATATTCTCAATCCACACCTCTTTGTGCTAAAATTTGCATCTTATCGAATAAACGAATAAATCAGACGGTCATTTTTTTCGCTGTTGGTCGCCATCGCTCTATGATTGGATTGATTATAGATAGGGTATGAGTTTCTAATGCAAAAGGCAATGCAAAAACTGTGAGTGCTATCGATCACAAAGTTATCCGAGTACGTTCAGCGCTAGTCTATTAGTCGGAAAAGAAATGGCTGAAATGAAACTTTATTTCTATGGCCTATCTTATTGTAAGCTACTAATCGAATCCTCTGCATGGGGCACCGTATCAGGCGCACTTATTTACGCATTTTCCTAATGTTTTCTTGCTGCAGCGCTTTCTTCAAGGAAGAAAAATTTTTTTGATTGAAATTCCTCTAAATCGATTTGTTCCAGAACGTTCGCTGAACTGACCGTTTTGCATCCAAATCTTGCCTATCCTTATGCATTTGTGTATATCCGACAGATTGCCATCCATCTAAGGAATGCTATCATCTCGAAGAAGCGGAAGGTAAGTGGAGCAGTTCAACGAAAGGCATTTCCTGACAGAAAAATCTAGGACATGGTCCGTACCATTTATAACTGGCAAATGATGCAATGTCTCTATCTATGGGCGAGAGTGATATCAAAAGCGCATGCTGTTCATGATTGTGAAGCCATTTGTGAATTGACTTATCCACTTACGCAACTTTTACATGGAGTGCTGAAGTGATTTTTAGTCCCACTTATCTTGACTATACGTTGTTGTAGAGTTGAATTATGTTTTCAGATTATACCACTCGCTCCGATATCTACCTCTTCGACTGCACTGCATATCAATACTAATTCAGCTACAGGCTAATTGTGGCGTTTATATCCCTACACTAACACTGGCGATTGAGGTAGTCTTGATAGCTTTCACCTTTTTTTTAATTTAGCGGCTCACATAACCTTGCGCTAGATTTGGTAATGACTTCTTGTAAATGAATTTCCTTGACTTCCAAATCTTCTTCGCTAATTATTCAGCCATGCGCAAATACGGGGTGTCCCAAAAGTAGGTACACGCTTTTTAATCGTTATTATCTATCTCTTCCCACTGAGTCTTTCGTTTTGCCTTAAAGTACCATTCTATAGAGGAGGCTTCAACCTAAATTCACAGTACTGAGCAAATCACCGATCG